ATCTATCTCTCTATCTCTATCTATAACTATCTATCTCTCTCTCAATCCATCTCTATATCTATAAGGAACCGCAGTAGACAAAAGGCATTGCGAAAGCAACACGTCATGTTTACGCTGCATTTTCTATGAGGTAAATATTACCCGCTGGCGGATATAAGTGGCGATTTTTTTCAATCTGACTTCATATTGACAATTTTTAACAACAGAGGGTGCTACATAACACCCTTTCAGGAAAGGTCACGGACTGGGAGACCTTAATATTTGATTGAAAAAAAGTTACATACAATCAAAAAACAGCTGCGGGTAAAATTGACCCGTTGGCGGTTCTAGTGTTACGCAGCGTCCACACGGCAGGCGCGCGTTGAAGCTTGCCAGCAGGCGTGTGTGAAACGCGACCAACAACCAATCACATGAATCTCCCGCCCCGGACACACAAGCACGCGGTTTGATTGGCTAGAGCTTGTTCTGGCATATGATTTGATTGGCTGACGCTTCCGTCGAAGCTTCAAAAGTTGAACATTGCTCAACTTTTGAAGCGAGCAAAGCGAAGCGACGGAACCACAATGCAGTTCGGCAAAGCGTGACGTCACCCCATTCAAAGTGAATGGGCAGAAGCATTGAAGCTTCAACGCACTCTGCCGTGTGGACGGGCCGTTAATGCTACTTGAGGCTTTGTTGATAAACCTTCTCAAAGGGTATTTCAGGACTTTTGTTTCAACACTTTATACGAGCCACAGCTTTCTCTACTCACTGCATTACTATCTTCCCAAGGGGAAACTAGATAACCCTTTAATCCCTCCTTGGAATTCGAACCCCCCTCCTATCCGTCTCCTTTATTCCGTTAAACAAAATCTGTGTTGAAAAATTAACCTGCTATTCAACACGTGGCACTTCCACAAATGGGCTGCTTCGGCTCCTCCAAGCCCATTGTAAATTACTTAAGATGCTATCAAGGCTTAATCCATCTTTATTCCAGGTATTTAGGTGTTAGAAAAAAAGCTGGAAGGTCCCAAAAACTTGCTTAACAGAAAGTTAATCAAAGGGGCTTACAGAGACACAATGAGGGCACAATCATAGCGTTTCTAAAAAAAAAAGGGTCCGACAGGCAGGTTTGCACAATGGAGACTCTGGTGTCCATGTAATAAATCTCCAATCAAATCTCTCATCCTCTCGCTTTTCTATCCTTGATAAACAGACTGCAGGCTGCTCAATATGCAGCGGATGCTCAGCAGGGAGGGGGATATCCAAGACAAGCATAATGGAGAGGGGCCGAATGTCAAAGTGTTAAATAAAGAATGGAAATCTGAGTTTAAATGGAGCTTTTGTTTCTAGGTTTCATGCCTTGTATGTAAAGTCTAAGCTTTGCAACGTATTGAGATATGGTAAGCAGCTCTGACTGCTACCAATTAACCGAGGATGACTTTAATTGACAATATACGCAACGAGGAGAACACGATAAGGGTTTAAAACAAATATATAAATATGGTTAAACTGAACACCTAATACTAATATATACTGTAAGCATGTATAATATTCTGTGTTTTCTGGATGTAATACCTTCTAAGAGAGAGGTATGGAGCTCTGACTGCTACAAATTAACCAATAATGACTTTAAATGTCAATATACGTAACAATGAGGCCATAATAAAGGAACAAATATATAAATTAAAAGGTTAATACTATAAATGAATCCCTAGTGACAACATTTAAACATACTATGGTTGGTGGCGTCTTTATTTCTTCTTTAAATCATAATTTTTGTGGTGAAACTGAACAAATATTCTGTGTTTTTGGGATTAAATGCCGTCTAAAAGAGAGAAATGGAGCTCTGGCTGCTACCTTTTAACTAGGAATGACAAAGAGGAGAGAATAAATGATTTAAATATATATAAACACATGTTTTTAAAGCTTCAACTACTACAAATCAAAGCCTTTACCATTTCCATATAGTATAAATTGTGGCATCTTTATTTCCCGGTTAAATGTCATTATTCGAAAAGATTAAATATTCTAATACCTTTAATTGGTGCCGAGATTAATATTTCAAACCACCAGGAAAAATGTAATGCATTAATATTAGAAGCTATGACCCCCCCCCCCCCCCCGTTCACTCGGTCTTTTAACAATTAAATTTGATGGGATGATAATGTATGATAATCACGAGTAATCAGGTGCCCACTGGTAAATGGAGAGTTAATGTCACCTGCATTTCAAATTGTGTCCTTGGCAGCAACGGCCTAAACAGCTGGGGAATACGACACTATGCTTTTCATCAAAATAATATAAAAACCCACCGTCTACCGTCTGATAAGAGGCTCTCAATATATCAATATCTATCACACAGGAAATTGGGAAAAGAGGTAAATAAAAATACAGTTTTCCGTCCAAGAGATGTGGCTCATTTGGCAACTGGTTGTAAATCCACATGCAATTGGACGCAGCTATTTTCCAATGCTTCATTTGCATAAATCCATATAAAATGCACTTTCCAGGGATATGTCAGTCAGGAGCAGCGGCACCTGATGCCTGGGCTTCATTAACTAGAAGGACGGAGTAACTTAAGGCACTTTGGCAGACTCGAACCAATACAGTAATTACTTTTAAAAAAGGCATTTCCGTCATCCCTTGGCTCTGTGTGAGTGAAATAAAGCATCCTTTCTTGCAAAATCACTGACTTAACATCTCTGACGTGAAATCCAGCTTTCAGAATACATGGTGCAAGAAAAAAGGCTCCATTACACCACCAGCGTGTTTGATTAATTCAAATACCGTTCACGCAAAAAAGGTCTCCGTGCCTTTGGGACAGAAACTTGGTGAAAAGTGCATTTTAACTGGCAGGATATCCTACTTTCACAATTCCATTATGTGCCAAGCTGCATTTCATCCCATGAAGAGTTGCAAACTGCAGAAACCCCCGACCTAGTAAAAAGCCCACCGCCTAAAGCCGCTATCACGCACTTCCAGTTGTGCCGTATCGGTGTTTACAGATTTGCTTTAACAGTATTTGGCCAGGGCGGGCGCTCTAATTGCCGTAATGATATCGAGGAGAATAACCGTGTGCAGAGGGGGAGAGAAAGTGAGGTAAAAAAAAAAGGGGAGGGAGAGGAGCAGCTGCTACTCACAGGGAACCTCTGAGGACCCACAGCAGGTCTGGGTTGGCTTTGAGCAGGAGGCATCAAGGGCACTGCAATGAGAGAAAAGAGAGGGGGTGAGACGGGGAGGAGGGGGACACAAATGAGGGGGGATAGGGGAAAAAGGGAGGAGAGTCTCCATGCTTACGGCTGTTACAAAGACATACATTTTATAACAGGACATTTGCAATGAAATATATTTGCGGTTACAGGGAGTCGTAAACATTTGCACTAAGGGAACAGTATACAGAATTTTCATTACCATTTCTTCACCGTAGCTTTGTGCATATGACAATAAAACCGTTGAATATACATCGAAACCCTCCCCTTTAATTTACTTGCATCTTACACAACGTCCACAAACTTTATACTATAAACAGAAGGGATGTTTTCGTGATAATACCACTACTATTTAGACATATTTATGGCTATTTTACTTGCATCCTTTGGTTACTATAACCCTTATGAACACAGTTAGAAATACACTACATGTATACAGTTGTGTACATAGACTGTGTGTAAATATGCACATTGACATTGCATCTTACTACCTCTGCTTTTACCACTCTTATTTATTTATTTGTGTCTATTTTGTTACTGCAGTGAGAGTAAATCTATTCATCTGTAGGCGAAGAGAAAAGGTAATTTTTTCCCATTATGTATAACCTCACATCTTAATGAGAATGATTTCAATTAACTGATTGACATGTGGTTTTTTTATGCTGCTTTAAAATGAGGGTAATTGTATGTCAACATATACAACATTCAATTGGATCTCTTGAAAGAATATATAAATAAATATAGACACAAAAACATAATCATAACCACAGGCTATCCCTGATTTTCCAGAACACATCTTCCTCCCAGGAGCAAAAGAAAACCCCAATGCACACTGTGACACACACACACTGTGACACACACACACACACACTGTGACACACACACACACACACACACACACACACACACACACACACACACACATTGGCTAACATGCTTTGCTAACAACATTTCAATCTTGGCCCGGGCAGACAGGCCAGATAAACCCATCTCAGGGAATGAAATGGTGATGCCGCCAGAAAAAATAAAATAAACCCATTACTGGCTGAGAGAGCTATTCACTTGTCATTCAAGCAAACAACAAAATGACATTCTAATCCAGACACCTTTCAGGATGTCAGACAGCCAGACGTAGCATGCACCTCAACTCAGAAGCTTCCTAAATAAACCAGGGATGCACGAGTTTGGGTACAAGGAAATGTACATTTAATCAAAAATGTTAAGAGTATGAATCGTGCATTTAGCTAATTATATAAAAGAGAAATGGGGAATGGAATTTAACACGATGATGACTGGCAAAAAATACATCAATCATCTATGAATGTGTGGATATGGACACTTAGGGTTCAGAGGAAATACTCACATATGGAGAGAATACAAGGGTATGATGTGTCTATCAATTACATACTAGTATATCTGGGCTATTTCACAAGAGAAAATGTTTAAATTAGGGATAAATATCCTGGCAAAGTATGATCAAAAATGTATTTAACTAATTATATAAGAGAGAAATGGGGAATGGAATTTAACACGATGATGACTGGCAAAAAAATACATCAATCATCTATGAATGTGTGGATATGGACACTTAGGGTTCAGAGGAAATACTCACATATGGAGAGAATACAAGGGTATGATGTGTCTATGAATTACATGCTAGTTAATCTGGGTAATTTCACAGGAGAAAATGTTTAAATTCGGGATAAATATCCTGGCTAAAAAGCTGTATCTAGGAAATGGTGTATGTGAAATGGGGAAATAGAATTGAACACGTTGAAGACATTTGGAAAATACATAAAATCATCTACAAATGTGTGGATATGGACACTTAGGGTTCAGAGTAAATACTCAAATATGGAGGGAATATGGAGTTTTGCAAAAGATGGAAGCATATGATGTGTCTATGAATTACATGCTAGTCTATCTGGGTAATTTCACAGGAGAAAATGTTTAAATTAGGGATAAATATCCTGGCAAAAAGGCTATATCTAGGAAATGGTGTACGTGAAATGGGGAAATAGAATTGAAGACATTTGGAAAATACATCAAATCATCTACAAATGTGTGGATATGGACACTTAGGGTTCAGAGGAAATACTCACATATGGAGAGAATACAAGGATATGATGTGTCTATGAATTACATGCTAGTATATCTAGGCTATTTCACAAGAGAAAATGTTTAAATTAGGGATAAATATCCTGGCAAAGTATGATCAAAAATGTATTTAACTAATTATATAAGAGAAAAATGGGAAATGGAATTTAACACGATGATGAATGGCAAAAAATACATCAATCATCCAATGTGTGGATATGGACACTGACGCAGCGTCCACACGGCCTAACCCTAACCGGTGGGCGTGTCTGAAACTCGACCAACAACCAATCACATGAATCTCCCGCCCCGGACACACAAGCCAACGGTTTGATTGGCTAGAGCTTGTACTGGCATATGATTTGATTGGCTGACGCTTCCGTCGAAGCTTCAAAAGTTGAACATTGCTCAACTTTTGAAGCGAGCAACGCGAGACTCGATTATATTGATTAGAAAGCCAGATAAGCTTCTTCTTGCCCCTTTTGAACATGACGGAAACTATTTGAGAACAAAAATGGTGGGTTGACGTACTTTGCACAGAGGATGACATTATTGTAAAGCCAGATCATTTAAAATAAAAACAGCTTCATAATAGCAATATTTATTTGTACGTTGTTTTTTTATATATTTTAATCGTTTAACCTTTATTATAATTATGGCTTGAGTCTATTAACATGTTATATTTTGCTGCATGTACCTTCATAAATAATCTGAGGGGAATTTCTTGTTGTGTATTTTTAACTTGTGATGTGTCATTTTGTTTAGAGTATTTGTTTATAGTGTCGTGGACAGTCCCCATAGAGAGGCGAAGTCCCTCCCTTTCCGGGGACCTCCATGGGACCTTATTTCGGAAAAAGTATGCATTGAAGTCAATGGAGAGAAAAAGATTATCGTTCGATCCCGTTTGAATTGAGCCATGAATTACACATATGATGTTTGTCAATTTAAAAGATAATTTTGCAAGTCACAAAAAATAAAAATGTGTCGTAAAACTGTGAAGTAACACTTTGTTTTGTGTGAAACCGCTCAATGAACTACATCTCCCGTCTCGCACCACACACCCAGACGGCCGTCACGTTGGCACATTTCACTTCTTTCTTTCAGAATGAGGCGGAAAGTATTAAAAGAGGTGAAAATCACTCCAAGTCTGGGCATGCTGAGAGCTGTACATACACACAAGGGGAGTTAGTCGGTTCCTAAGAGCCAGCATGCGGGACCGGGACTCTGGGATTTGTAGTCTTTCTAGTCGCGTATTTTTCATAGTCTTATATTTCAACAGTTTTACGACAAACTGTGACTTTTTTGACATGGAAATTATTTTTTAAGATTGACAAACATCATGTGTGTAATTCGTGGCACAAAGATAATCTTTCTCTCTCCATTGACTTCAATACATAATTTTTCCGAAATAAGTTCCCATGGGTTGGAAGTAGATGGACGGGACTTCGCCTCTCTATTAGTTATAAAGAAAGGATGAAAGACGAGTAGATACAGGCGAAAGGACAACACACGTTACAACATACAGCTGCATCTGTTGTATGAAAAGTGCTATATAAATAAAGCTTTATTAATTATTATTATAAAGCACACTATAGTGAGTTGACGTACCTTGCACAGAGGATGACGTTGGCCCTCTGAAATGGGGGTTAATGTGGATGTTTTTGGACTGTGGGGGGGGTTGTTGGTGCTGCTGCTGCTGCTGCTGCTGCTGCTGCTGGGGGAAGTTTGGTGGCGGAGAACTCATCATCCGTGGTGGTGGCTCCATCTGGGGCCTCATGGGGGGGGAGCGGTGAGCCATGTGTTGGGGGATGAGGGGCTGCAATGGCTGCTGGGTAATCGCACGCCCGTGGTCCTGGAAGGGGGGAGGACCTCTCGGACGTGAAGGGTGATGCTGAGAGTGCATTTGCTGCTGATGAGGCTGATGAGGAAGAGGCATTCGGGAGGATTGCTGCTAATTGGAAGGAGAAATAGGACCAGGAGAGGAGGGGAAATCAAAACAAGCCGTCAGAACACATTTCTGATACATCAAGTGCTTGCAGCCATGCCATGACACGCAGACAAATCAATTCATAAGTTAGATGTTACCCGAAATGTATTTAATAAAAAGCTTCCCCTGAATAGTCACTATTTACGCTTTTTAAGGATGCCTTTAAGAAGTCTTTTAACATCTAAATATATCAACCAGAGATGCATCAACAACAGATACATGAACAATAACAATCAAGCAAAGTTTGAAATGACTGCTTGGTAATTGGCAAGTCTGTCTGTTTAAGATAAACAAACAAACAAACAAACAAACATGCCAGTGACCAAATAAGTCACATGGTTAAATATACAGTACGTTTTAAAAAGTACACGCTCATTAACAGCACGATGTTCATGTTGCTGGCGTGTCGTCCATCTGTCATTAATTATGCATGTCCAGTGTTTATGTTTTTAATTGTACGGGCTTTAATAAATGAATTAAATAATAATGATAATAGCAGCAGGAGTGAAAAGTCAAACAACCTTGAGGACAATCGCTTGAACACGTATTTATTATTCAAGCACAGTTTTGTTTACGGGAACTTCTATGTGTAACCTTGGTAAAAAAAAGCATGTGAGAAACTCCTTTGCAGACCGTTTACATGCACCAAAATTACACATACAGGATATAGAGAACCCTAAAAGCGTAATAGGGCCCCTTTAATTATTGAATATCACAATTAAAGGAAAGGTATTATGGTTCCAATGAGACCTGGACTTGTTCCTTTATCTAATAACCTCCCCCTGCATATCATTCCTCGCTCTTTTCATTCAGGTTAGCCATGATATTTTCCCTAGACCTTCAAACGGTCTTGTATGAACTGATGAGCCATGTAAATCAAAGGATTAAATGCTTGGAGTGATATCTAATATTAAAAGCCCACAAGAAACTAAATCCTAGGCAAAGAAGAAATGTAATTTCGCATAATGCCGTCTAAATGGATGACTGCCAAATGATTCGCTATAATCCATATATCAACATAGATAGCAGACGTTGTCGCGCGTAAACCAACAAAGACTTGAAGGTCTTAGATAGTGAAGAGAGATCAAAACACACGTGAAGTACAAAGCCTCGTAGTAACTGTGACGATTCAAGTAGGTAAAAAGTCAAGCAGTTTCAAATCATCTTATCCAGTGAAGCTTTCTTGAGCTGCTCTTCAGGAGGAGTGGCTCAGTATTAAGTGATGTCATATTCAAAAAGATAATCCCTTTCAAGAAGCTCCATTATGCTTTCTGGGGTTTTTGTGCATGTTAATGGTCTGCAAGGGCAAAAATCCCAACGTTCCTGAACAAGAGGGTGCTCTTTAAAGTAGAGACAATACATACTGATATACACCTGAACATCAGCAGGAGAGGACTCTTTAAAGTAGAGACACTACATACTGATATACACCTGAACATCAGCAGGAGAGGACTCTTTAAAGTAGAGACACTACATACTGATATACACCTGGACATCATCAGGAGAGGACTCTTTAAAGTAGAGACACTACATACTGATATAGACCTGAACTTCAGCAGGAGAGGACTCTTTAAAGTAGAGACAATACATACTGATATACACCTGAACATCAGCAGGAGAGGACTCTTTAAAGTAGAGACAATACATACTGATATACACCTGAACATCAGCAGGAGAGGACTCTTTAAAGTAGAGACACTGCATACTGATATACACCTGAACATCAGCAGGAGAGGACTCTTTAAAGTAGAGACACTGCATACTGATATACACCTGAACATCAGCAGGAGAGGACTCTTTAAAGTAGAGACAATACATACTGATATACACCTGGACATCAGCAGGAGAGGACTCTTTAAAGTAGACACACTACATACTGATATACACCTGAACATCAGCAGGAGAGGACTCTTTAAAGTAGAGACACTGCATACTGATATACACCTGAACATCAGCAGGAGAGGACTCTTTAAAGTAGAGACACTGCATACTGATATACACCTGAACATCAGCAGGAGAGGACTCTTTAAAGTAGAGACACTGCATACTGATATACACCTGAACATCAGCAGGAGAGGACTCTTTAAAGTAGAGACAATACATACTGATATACACCTGGACATCAGCAGGAGAGGACTCTTTAAAGTAGACACTACATACTGATATACACCTGAACATCAGCAGGAGAGGACTCTTTAAAGTAGAGACACTGCATACTGATATACACCTGAACATCAGCAGGAGAGGACTCTTTAAAGTAGAGACACTGCATACTGATATACACCTGAACATCAGCAGGAGAGGACTCTTTAAAGTAGAGACACTACATACTGATATACACCTGAACATCAGCAGGAGAGGACTCTTTGCATAGTGGATGATTGCTTACCTGCATGCTCATGCTCATAGGAACCCCCATCAGAGAGTGCCTCTGGTCCATCATTCTCCCTCTGTTTCCTCCTCTGAAATCTCCCATTCCAAAAGATGGGAAGCCGCCTCCTCTTCCCCCTCTTCCTCCTCTTCCTCCTTGCATTCCTCCTCTCATGCCTCGGCCTCCATAGCGGTTCTGTCTCTTTTGTCTTTCCTGTTCTTCAAACTCCATCAGATCCTGCTTAGCCTTCTCAGACAGTTCTAATAAAGGGAAGATCGGAAAGACTTGGTATAAAACAGGTTTGTAGAAATAGCACTCCAAAGATCAGAACATAAACACAGGTGATGTGTACCTAGTGTTTCGGGAATATTTCTCCGGCTACTTCCTGCATCAGCCAACCGCACAACAGCGCCATCCTTCCTTTCAGATTTGAACCGTATGCGACCAGCGTCTTCATCTTCCTCATCCTCTTCGTCCGATTCCTCTTTGGTTTCCTCTGCAGGCCCAGCTTCGTTTTCGACCTAAAAAAGACATTTTCAGAGTTTAAAAATACACATTTTGTGAATGACTATCAGCAGTATTTATCTGCAGTTTTGGTCCCATTTGATTATTTAGTTAATTCACCAACATGATGATAATCAAAATACATTTCATGTCATCTTTTTAAGCAAAAAACGCAAAGTATTCTCTGGTTTCAGCTTCAAAAATGAATGAGATTTGCCTTAAAAAGTAAATATTTTTGGGCTTTCAAAGTCTTGTAGAGCCACATATCTCAGTCTTGGATTTAGACAAGATATTTAAAGACCTACAGAAATCTAGAGTTTAAGAAAAATAGTGACAGGCCTCATGGTAAAGATCAAATGGCAAAAGATTAATCAAGAAAAAGCTTCTTTTTTTTAAGCAAAAATTCTCTGGTTTCAGCTTAAAAAATGAACAAGATTTGCCTCAAAAGTAAATATTTTCTGGCTTTCTATCTCTTCTAGAACCTTATATCTGGGTTTTGGATAGTAAGCCTGAATAAAAAAATATATTCAAAGATCTAGAGACATCTAGAGTTTAAGAAAATAGTAAAATGAACAACATTTGCCTCTAAATGTAAATATTTTTGGGCTTTCTAAGTCTTGTCGAGCCAAATATCTCAGTCTTGGATATTGACAAGATATTTGAAGATCTACAGAAATCTAGAGTTTAAGAAAATGGTGACAGACCTCATGGTAAAGATCAAATGGTAAAAGATGAATTAAGAAAATAGAGAAAAGGTGGTTTAAGCAAGAATGCTCTGGTTTCCGCTTAAAAAAATGAACAAGATTTGCCTCTCAAAGTAAATATTTTGTGGCTTTCTATCCCTTCTAGAACCAAATATCTGGGTTTCAGATAGTTAGCCTGAATAAAAAAATATATTTAAAGATCTATAGACATCTAGAGTTTAAGAAAATAGTGACAGACTTTTGGGAAATGAATCAGATCAAATCATAAAAAATGAATCAAGAAAATGGAGAAAAAGTAATATTTTAAGCAAAAATTCTCTGATTTCAGCTCAAAAAATGAACAAGATTTGCCTCTAAAAGTAAATATTTTTTGGCTTTCTAAGTCTTCTAGAACCAAATATCTTGGTCTTGGATATAGACAAGATATTTAAAGATCTAGAAACATCTAGAGTTTAAGAAAATAGTGACAGATTATGGTATTTTATAGATCAAATGGTAAAAGATTAATCAAGAAAATGTTGTTTTTTAAGCAAAAATTATTTGGTATCAGCTTCAAAAAAGTAAATATTTTGTGGCTTTCTATTTCTTCTAGAACTTTATATCTGGGTTTCAGATAGTAAGCCTGAATAAAAAAGATATTTAAAGATCTAGAGACATCTAGAGTTTAAGAAAATAGTGACAGACTTTTGGGAAATTAATCAGATCAAATCATAAAAAAGGATCAAGAAAATGGAGAAAAAGTAATATTTTAAGCAAAAATTCTCTGGTTTCAGCTAAAAAAATGAACAACATTTGCCTCTAAAAGTAAATATTTTTTGGCTTTCTAAGTCTTCTAGAACCAAATATCTTGGTCCTGGATAAAGACAAGATATTTAAAGACCTACAGAAATCTAGACTTTAAGAAAATAGTGACCTTATGGTAAAGATCAAATGGTAAAAGATTAATCAAGAAAACGTAAAAAATGCTCTGGTTTCAGCTCAAAAGAAATGAACAACATTTGCCTCTAAAAGTAAATATTTTGTGGCTTTCTATTTCTTTCGGATAGTTAGCCTGAATAAACAACAATTCTAAAGATCTAGAGACATCTAGAGTTTAAGAAAATAGTGACTGGCTTTTGAGAAATGAATCCGATCAAATCATAAAAAAGATCAATCAAGAAAAAGGCAGTTCAATCTATAACAAACATATGTGTTATACTGGTCAACATTGAACACTAAATATCATACTTCAAACTTTCAAAATGTGTACTCATGCATACACTTCTAAAACCACACACACAATAAATAAATATCTGCCCCGTCTTCGCTGGGTTTCAACGGCAGATTCAGAAAAGTGTTTTTATTGAGTGTCAACAAACCTCGCTGTCAAAGAGCTGGGAACCATCAGCTGGTTCTTCCTCCTCCTCTTCGTCCTCCTCCTCCTGCTGCGCCTCCCCCTCTACCTCCTCCTCCTCCTGCTGCTCCTCGGGGGCCTGCTGATGGACTCCATGTTCATAGGACGTTTGGTATTCATCAACCTTTATAGATCACATGGATATTGATTACATGGTGACAATGCTACGATAAAGACAATACAGCTTTATTTATAAGGCACTTTAAAACCCCTCAGACCAACGTGCTGTACAGTCAAACAAACAAACAAACCTCACGGCTCAGCGCACACACCATAACACAAGTCAAAAACAATAAGGGACATCAAAGAGGACAATTTCCAAAAAGGCTCAAATGAAAAAACTTGGGAAAAATGATATCAGACTTTTGAATATCCGCACGTTAATCAGATTAAAACAAATGTATACAGAGCATACGGCAGACATTAATATGTGATGGAGAGGATTTGGGGGAGACACCATGTAACCCCCCCCCCCCCCTCTCCCCTTCCTCTCTCCCAGCCCAAATTACCATAACAGTGGGAGCAAGGCTTCATTACTATTCCTGACAGCATTTGAAATTCAATGAGATGTAAATGTTTGACATGATATACAGAAATGCAGGCACGGATAAAAGCACGTCTTCCCAGTTCACTGATGGTGAAAATATCATTGACTGACTCCGCGCAAATCACTGCGTTATTGGCCGCGCTGTAAGTTCACGACTCCATGCCGAAAAAACAAACATTGGGAGGGAGGACAAATCAGTTCTTACTACCGAGTAAAACATGACGTATTCATTTCATATAATCCAGCAAACAACCTCTTCTCCAGGGTTGGGATAAGGTTACTTTAAAAAACGTGTATTTCATTACAATTAACAGATTGATAGGGAAACCTGCCTTTCATGAAACACATGAGCACGTAGTAGTTTAAAAAAGCAGAATCTAAGCTTGCTCCATTTTAGTTGAACACACACTATTTAATGTTAAGATCTTTATTTGATGTATTGTCCCATTGTTATCCCCATTTCAAGTGATTGTAAGGGAATACCGCTTTCTTGTGTGATTATGTTACATGTAATCTATTACAAAAAGCTCCTTAGTGACTTCTAGTCTCCGATAGTGTTTTAACGGTATTAGAGCGTCCATAACACTTTGAAGCTAAAAAATTTTGCAAAATAACGTTCTACTTTCCCATAGTGCCAATAAACTGCTTAGGGCTGAACGATATATCGTGTCATATCGTATCGCAGGGACGTTTTTTTTTTTTCATTTTTCTTTTTTAGGACGTGCGATATTAAAGGTGGGGTAGGTAAGTTTGAGAAACCGGCTCGAGATCGCTAGAATTTGAAAATACACAACCGGAGAAAATCTGCCACTTCCTTACAGAGCCCCTCCTCCAACACACACGAACGCGCACATGACCAATGAGGGCACGAGATAAGTTTGTGCCCCGATGGAAGGCTGACAGGCAGGTAGGCCATCCAGTTACTTTAGCCGGGCCGGCTCAGATGATTGGTCGTGCTTTTTACAGTACTACAGCTTCCACAGATGATATTTATTATGGATTTTTTGTCAAAGCACTTCAGATATTCATTGCTATCGGGATGTTAAGAGCATTCCATGGAATATAACAAAAAGTGTATCTCGAGCCGGTTCCTCAAACTTACCTACCCCACCTTTAAGTAGGTAAATTAACTAAAACACGTCATGTTACAATTATTTTGCTGCTTGCTACAAAAGGAAAACTAGCGCGGCTCTCATGTCAGGGGTACTTGAGTGAGTGAGTGACATGCATGCACAGCAAACCACCAATCACAATCAGTCTTGATCAGATCACAGCAGGCCCCGCCCCGCTAGTTTGCAGACCATCAAAACACCGGTAAAAAAACGAGCGAGGCACAGGAGAACAATACCGGCGAGAATGAAGATTTACTTCCAAAAAGAAAAGCAACATCTGCCATCTGGAACTATTTTGGATACAAAAATGTTCTTCTCTTCTTCATTCACAGATGAACCCCCTTATTTGAGGGTAAGCAACATGCATTATCATGTTAGATCATGACTTAAGGTATGATGAGTCAATGAATCCAGACGTCCGTGACTAAAATCCTTCATCCGGTTAAATATAGTTAAAAAAAAACGCAATATATATCGCAGGGGAAAAGAATATGTCAGTTTTTTTCAATATCGTGCAGCCCTAAAACTGCTGCATGAAAACCATAAAGCAGATTCAGGCGTATATATTCACACTTAAAGTATTAGCCTACAGAAAAGAGATAACATCTGACCCCTTAACAACAAACACTATATGCTCTTTTTAGTCATTCATACTTTCTGCGTAACACCCTCTAACAAAAAACTCATTCCTAAATAAGGTCAGACAGTAGGTCACACCGTGGTGTTTGGTGTTGCGCTCCATTAACCTGCCAAACAGCAGCACATATTAATGCAGAAATGGGGGGGGGAAAATGGGATGGACAGGCTGCCCTCAGGGGAACACAACGGCTTAATCCTTTAAACTGTTCCACATAGCACTCAATGAAAACCACAGCAAGCATAATGTCAAGGCCAGGCAGTTTAGTGACCTTGTAAACAGATATTATACATAATACAAACACACATGCACACTTGCAGACATTCCCCCCCCCAAAAATCGTGAATAGGCTTCAGCGTAAGAAGGTCAATGTGTTATCTTTGTTTGGGGAAAAGGAGGAAGGCTGATATATCTGTGTCAGGTGCCAAACACCATCACACCTTAGTAAATGGACCATAACGGACATTTGCACATGGATCTGGTCTTATCTTTGATCCTATTAGTCCTGGCTAAGAGGGAAGGGGAAGGAATGAAAGGGAAACTCGCATCAATCATTGGAAAACTGTACGGGGTGTCCTCAGGAAGGTCAATAATCTTTTCACCTGCATGAGACTTTATCAGATGCAGTCTAAAGCGCGAGATAAAAGCCCCCCCACATTAACCTCCGCCGATTGGCAGCACATCTCCTCGACACAAAGCAGCTCCTTACTGCCCCAAAAGATACAGAACCCAAGGTCACAAAGGCATGGGGATTTTAAAAAAAGGGAGCCAGCAACCAAAACAAGCCGTCAACACAAACTCTGTCAGCAAGATGGAGAAATGAACTGGCAGGAAGTGATAATGAATCCCTAAAAAAACGCCATCAAATAGTTGTTAATTAATATATTAGAGACAAACTACTAGCTTATTTGTTATGAACAAGACTTCACTTTAAAATAGGGAACATATTCTGAGTTAGAAATACTTCATTTTTTTGTTATTAAGACCAAAACTCATGTACAACAACTTCCGTACTTACAATAAATAAGTACTAATTAGAGGGTTATTGAGGAAAAACTGGTACTAGTACTGGGAGAATAAGACATTAATAAGTGTTTTATAATGACTAACAAAGAACCAATATACTGCTAATATGCATGTTAATTAACAACTAGTTGATGGTGAATATGTGTACCTTAATATAAAGTGTTACCGTGGTAATGAATCCCCAAACAACGCCAACAAACATCTCCTTCTCCTGAATAGATTTTCAATCCTGACGGTCCGTTTATAGCGAGTGTGGCGTTATCTCTTTGACACAATAGGGTGTGTGTGTGTGTGTGTGTGTGTGTGTGTGTGTGTGTGTGTGTGTGTGTGTGTGTCAAGAGCTATATTCAGAGCTATGCTGCCTTCATGCTGGTGTGTGGGTGTGTGTGTGTGTGTGTGTGTGTGTGTGTGTGTGTGTGTGTGTGTGTGTTTTTTTAAGAGTAAGCAAATGTGAGAACTCACTTGAAATTCACCATCTATGGGCTCATTGATTTGGATGTCTAGCACTTCATCCTGGTAGCCGTCGTCACCCTCATTTTGCTCTCCAGTGTAATCCATTTGTTCTTCTTCTTCTTCAGGCATCTGTGTGTTGTTGTTGTCTTGGCTGTATTCCTGTGTGTATCCCTCCTCTTCCTCTTCTTGCTGGTAACCCTCCTCCTCCTCTTCACCCAGGTTCACGACGTCATCTGTGTATTCTGCCACCTGCGAGGATGCGCCCAAGCTGACTGTGGCGTTGAGGTTTACACCCTGGCCGCTGAAAATAAAACACACGTTGGGAAAACAGTGGTGAGTAAAGATGGTAAAATGTGACCTGCTGTATCAAACATAACACATCGAGCTTTTCCAAAGATATCATGGTGTTTGCTCTCCAAATATTCAGCAAAATACTTCACATAACATCATGACTAGTACCAAGACAGGATCCTGAGATCTTTTTTTTGTCATAATTATTTTAAGAGGGGGCTCAAGGCTTAATATTTAGGGGAAACAGAGATGAGTAATGATGGTACAATGTGACCTGCTCTATCAAACATAACACATCGAGCCCAGACACATTTGTTGTTATATACACCGTTACAAAGAGGATATTGTTAGCTTCAGCAAAATACTTCACTTTACAATATGGCAGGATTCTGAGATAAAGTCCTGCAAAGGTTGCTGTTTTTAGTTTTAATTATTTTAAGAGGGGGCTCAAGGCTTAATATTTTGGGGTAATAGTAACCCTTGCCCCCTAAGACCCACGACTGGATTTAGCTGTCATTCTGAAATCTTTGTCTATCGTATTGATTAAGCTCAATCATTTTAAGCTAGTAGCCTCAAGGAGGAGGATATTTATTTTTACTCTGACGAGGGAACGTTCAGATGAAAGCTGGTGAGAGTCTGTTTGGGTACGAGTGTGTATTTACTGAACACACACAACACACTTATTATCTGAATATGACAATAAGAGTTTGATATTCTGACAGCTAAGACTTTGTTTGTTTAGAATCAAACAAAAAAAAGGTTCGGGTTATTTATTTGTAGGTTGCAGATAAAAGACAAGAGATACTGTACCTATTTTAAAAAAACACACACAACTCTCTGAACAAGTACCCCTGCTCCGTCACATCTAAAAACATTTAAAAACCACCAGTACAAACATGAGCAATCCACAAAAACGTGACACTTGTGTTCTCAGCTGACCTCATGGTAACTTCTTCATCATCACTTTGTAGGAGGTCGTCATTCAGCTCTTCATCCGACACTTCTGAGGGATTCTGAAACAGAAAGAAGTAGGGATGTAACGATACACTCAACTCACGATTCGATACACGATTTTAAGTTCACGATACGATTTTATTAATTTTTTTACAGAATGAGCTGCGGACAAATTACGACTGCAAAGTATTTGTATAAACTGTACAAAACAACGTGCATGTTCTCATTAAAGGTACAACCGAAACTGTGCAACTGTATTTTATCTTAAATAACAAAAAGATACATAACTGGATTCTGAGAACATCCCACATCAAAACGACACATATTTCTTTTTATTCATGGGTATTTTACTAATCACTCCCACTTTAGGCGGTGGTGGCGAAGTCCATAGGGACTTGGCTTGGCAACTGGAAGGTCACCAGTTCAAGCCCCGGAAAGACCAAGTGCTACCGAGGTGTCTCTGAGCAAGGCACCGTTCCCTACACTGCTCCTAACACTAGAATGGGTCGAATGCAGAGACCTTTTTGTCCGGCAGTGGCTCAGTCAGTAGGGGCTTGGACTGTGAGCCGTAGGGTCGCCGGTTCAAGTCCCCGAACAGACCTAAATATGGAGTGTGGACTGCTACTTGGAGAGGTCCCAGTTCACCTCCTGCCCTGCCGTGGTGCCCTTGAGCAAGGCCATCTAAGGCGGGGCCTCGCATATGACGCACACCTGTTCCACAATTATTCGTTTTCCGAGGCTAGGAAGGATTCTTGCCTCGCTTCTGAAGCAAGTGACCCGGAAGACATGTGCTACCAAGGAAGCGTCCTCGACATTGAGAAACACCCACTGACCCTGTGCTATGACTACTACTAGTCTAGTGTATAATTCTTGTATAGCATGTTTCCAAATATGAACAAATAAACAATAAAATGTTAGTTACAGTAACCCAGATTCTTGTATGCTTTATGTAGATATTTGATCATATTTAAAATAGGTGCAGCATGTACAAAATATAGCTACAAGTAAAACGTTTATTCGGACAAGTAAATTGCCAAACTCACTTGTCCATGGACTCTCTAAAAACGTTTTCTTACACTGCCTAGAAATAAGTAATCTGTTATTGTGTGCTCTTTACATATTGTCTTCTTTGGGGTGTTTGTAAGGCCTGAGGGCGGGGGACCACCTCCAACCCCAGAGGACCGATTCCCATGTGGTGAAGGCAATCTGGGCAGGTCAACACTGCTCTTTTTCGTCCACTGTACTTCCTCCTGTTTCACATCAACACTTCCCCCTGTGGAGGAGCCACCTGCTACAAGTCACTTCTCTTCTCTAAATGTTCTACCAACACACAGACAATGTTTTCTGTTTCCTGCATGTAAGCAGAGAAACCATACGGACATGCAAAGTGTTCTTTTGGCAGATTTTTTAGAAATGTGTCTTACCTTTTTCCCCGACAGCCAATCCTCTCCAAGCAGATCTTCTTCCAAATCACTTTAAACGGGAAACAAACAACCATTAAGAGGTTAGAGAAGACAGATAACAAGCAGAGTGTCATTTTTTATTAACTAATAATGTCTTTCTGTGATTATAAAAGCTTTTATATCCCAGTAAGGTTTTTTAAAGATAGGTATCTTTTCTGATTTTATTGATACTACTACTGATACCAACACTCCTTACTGGTTCACCTCCTTATCGTACTACATTTTGATGACTAAATGATTGATTTTGAATACCTATGTTATATATTAAATAGAACATGTTGGAGCCAGGCATTGATAATATTATTCAATAGTTAAACATTACATTACATGTCACTTGTTAGACGCTTTTATCCAAAGCGACTTACATACATTCAGTACTGAGGGCAATCCCCACAGGAGCAATTTGAGGTGAAGTGTCTCAGGGGCACAACGACATGCTGACTGCAGTGGGGTTTGAACTTGCTATCCCCTGATTCAAAGTCCAGCACACTACCCACTGAGCCACAGCCTCCCTAAACATACATTTTCTTGCTTTTATTGTATTTATTTTTGTTGAATAAAGTAGTTTGTTAATGCTTTTATTTGAACGCGGCTTTGGGCATTCGGTGATTTGGGCACGAGGTGATTAGGTATATATTGGAGACAGGTGGAGGTGGGATTAAGGCACCAGAAAGGGCATATTTTAACCTGATAAAACCACAAGAAAAGGCAGGGAAAGATATAGGAAAACTGTCATTAAAATATTGGATTATTGTAGTGTTTTGTATATGCAGAGTACTATGCTGCCTGCAAGCATATGTATCTTTAATTTGACTTCCTGTGCAGCTTGTGTATAAAATACAGCCGTCTTTTTGTAAAACATGACATTATTTACCTCCCAAGATCGTCATCTTCCCCTCTCCTCCTGCGTGATCGCTCCGCACCAGGTTTGTCATATTCACCGAAGCCATATTCTGCAAAAGGAAGAAAGACAGTTTTGCTTACAGAGCAATGGACTCTGCTAATAGTATTTATCATCCTCGTAGATTCATATCAGTCTGTCCTGTTGGCAAGCATTAATTTAAATGTATTTTTAGACTATTAGCATTTTGTTGATTCAGATGGTAACGGCCCTTATGCCAAGCTGAATCAACAACTTGTGCAGCAAACCGTGTGTACAAACAGGATATAAAAAGTACATATTTGCATACACATCTGTCTCATCGCTTGCCATGGATAATTCCAATAAAAAGGTACAGTACACTTTGACCCAAATAGTAAAAAAGTGTAGATTTCTTTCACAGCACCAGGGAGTATGCACACTTTCAAACCAGAATGAAATGGCGCCACATGTCTCTGTGACTATTGATTTATTTTATAGATTTTCTTAATCTTTCCACTACATAACATTTGGCACACCGGCTCTACCAAAGGGAGCAAATATCAGACAAAGGACACAACACCTAATTCCCTCAAAGACATATCTTCTAAGAAATATTGAGAGGAATAACATGATTCCAGACATTCCTGAAAAATATATATTAATACAACAAAAGGTAGTAAGCATTAATCAAACTGTAATTTCTTAGTTAAGTTCATGGGGCTTCTTGGATCTGAGCATAGGTCTATTTCAGTATGCACACACCTATAGAGGACATGGCGTTTAAAGTTTAGGGATGAGAACTGCTGAGATATAAGGCTATGACACAACAGTGAGCCAACTTTCACTACACCAAGGACCCTGAAGCCAAAGGAACGTCTATATAAATCTGCACTTTTCTGAAACTGAGATGTATTAAATGAAAAGCTAGATTACTGGCATTAAGGTGATGTTATGGACTTGGCCAACATTTCGTTTTTAAAGTGTTTGTCTAACACCTTGAGTTACCCAAGACATAACCTGATCATGAAGTTACAAAACCTGCTAGAAAATGCTTTCATTTTGAGGACAATTGGTTTGGCAAATATCAGATACCCATGCAACATACGTACATAATCACATACATTAATTGCATTCAGGTAATAATTACAGTCTAGTTTTGATATCTCTTGCTAGCAGCCTGGATATGTTATCAATCACAGGGACACAGAAAATGTTACTTATATGGATATATTTGCGTGCATTACACTCATTTCACCAGCTCACGTCTTCTGGAAAGATTCTGGCTATACCTGACTAGGCCTGTCGCGATAATCAATCAATTGACTTATCGTACGATAAATAAAAATGGACTCGATAACTTTTCTGAGCTCGATAAATTGCCGTTTACATAAGGATGCGACCAGCATTTTAGCCAGGCGCACTGTGGCTGCCGGCCAGGCGCGCTGTGAGGCTCACACACAGCCAGGTCAGGAGTCAGACACTCCGCGTGCACGTGCAGCATCCAAATTAATAATATAGCGACAAGCAGGAGACAACGTGTGACTTACTCGAGGGGAATTTAAAGTGAAATGGAAATGGTTACAAAACCTAATTCCACATCTCCGGTGTGGGAGTATTTTGGATTCAAGCCAAATGAACGAGGCCAACCTACGGATTTGAATGAGCCGGTATGTCGCATTTAATTTAATTTGTTTTATTTATTATATATCATTTATATATTTGAATATTATTTCACATTTCATTTGCAATGTTGAATGTTCAGTAAAAAGTTCTGTTTGAAAGGATGTACTTGAATTATTATTATATATTATCATTATGTCAGTGGTCTAAAATGGTCTTACAACGGTGCCGACAATATTATCGTTTATCGCAATAATTTCCGGGAAAATGTATCGTCCAACAAAATTTATTATCGTGACAGGCCTATACCTGACATGCTAAGTTTGTTCTGACAGCCACTACACTCCAATGCTTATCAAAAACAACACAGCTAGGGTGAATTCAAAACACCAGAGTAAACTGCGTCATAGAACTGGATCCCTCATACACACGAGCAGTCGTGCCTTCAGTCACACTGGTGGGAAGAACAAAGAACAAATCAAAAAGCACTTAATAGCTACCTTTATGTTAGGTAAAGTAGTTATATTGAAGTCATTTTAAGCCAGAAGACTGTGTGTTCTTTCTAAATGATTGCCTTGTGTGAAATGTGATAGCTTCCATCAGGTCGGAGGCTAATGTTAGCTTGAATTTGAAGCCCAAACACCTGACTTTAAGGAGCCAATATTCCCTTTTAGAACATAGTTATAGCATCAAAAACACTTCAAGAGTAACTTTAGCATGGCAAACAAGGAGACAGAGATACTCTCGACCAATCACTCAAGTATGAAACTGTTTTTTTTACCATTTACACTAGCTGTACAGGATTTAATTTTGATTATCTTAGTCAATTTGACATGCATATAGTTCACCTCTCCACATTGGGATCAATAAAGTACTTCTTATCTTATTAGTCTTGCAGCATTCTCTTGCACTATTTTAATAGTTTTGTATTGTTTTATGCGTTACATATATTTGTGTTGCATTGTTGTAGGAGCCTGGGACTTAAGATTTTCATTAAAAAACTACACTATAGCTACTGTGACAAAAAAGCCTTTGATAGATAGATAGAGTAGAGAGATAGATGGATTAGATAGTACTTTATTACTAAATTTATCCCAAAGTTCACAGCAGCATTTCGACAGTCAATCTGCAGGAATTACAAAATTACTAATAAAATACAAATAAATTCAAGATAAACATTACAAAATTAAGTATAATATATACATATTCTCAGTAAAAAAATACCTGTATTCAGACGAGTATCTAAACACTTTAAAATATACAGAATACATAAGAAAACTCTCTAATATACCGATCTACTTAACATGTAAACATAGTGTACTATATACATGAAAACGTGTTGTACAGTAGATTAATTGCAAGTAAACGCAGCTGCTAACAACCTTAAGCCAGCTAAACTGAACTGAAATGTACTAAACATTTAAAAAACGTACATTATGCAGTGACTTTCCCTTGTCATCAATCAGTGAATATTTACTCTGATTAATGTCAGTAATCAAGCTGAGTTTTATAATGCTAATAACGTAGCGCTAGCAGCTAAGCTATCGCAAGGGTTTGTTATAATTAACGTAATTTCAGCAAACATAAACAAACGTCACAATGTGTGGGATTAATATAAAATTACAAATCAATACTCAAGCATAAATGAAGTTTGATACGTGGCCTACTTTTAATACAAGACTGTCTTAAACATTAGCAACATTAGCCTAGCCATGTGAGCTAACAAAGCTACATTGCTAACATTAGTAATGTCGATTAAAAAGCAATGTTTTTACTCACCCTGAGTGTTTTCTGTCATGTTTGAAGGCGCGTCCCGCTTTAGAGTCTCACTACAAAACCGGAGAAGTGCATTTAATGTTTAGTATTTCACCATTTTGACGGTAGAAACGTGAAACTATCTGCGGCGGTGATTTCACGAGTAGAGCAACAACATGGACGAGCTGTGTTTGCTGCAGTGATGCATTGTGGGTAGGAGACGCTACAAAAGAGGGAGCTTCTTGACAGGTCATGTAAACACAGATGCAAACATTAGGACATTTTTACTTTGTTTGTACTGTAATCCACACATTTTTGGATGCTTTGCAGTATTGGTGAATTTATATTAAGCCACACGTTCCGGTTTTAACATATGATGATATAAAATGTGTCCTTCAATTTGAAAAACTAAACAAAAACTCAATTTTTAATCAATAATTTCATTATTTTAGCCAAATATTTCATACACAAATGTCCCTTTCTTAACATTTCCCCAGTATTTGATGCGTTTCTTAATTATACAGAGGTCTAAACACCTATTCCTGAGTGACCACTTGTTGGTTTTTTTCTGTTTTCTGTTCATAATGCCCTCACTTTTGAATTTATCTAATGAACACTGATGTTAATGTGCCTTTTTTTCATATGTATTGGAATAATTGTTCAATAAAGTTAAAGAGTACAACTACAGGGTTGACTGGCAGGATTGATTGATGAGAAATATTGCAGGTTTTCTTTCTATAATGTGGTTTCTGGTATGCTTATAAGTCAGATTTTGTGTAGATGTGAGGGGTTGACACATGACTGTCAGTCCCATGATTCTTTAAGGTGGTGTGTTTAATAGAACAACAACTATATGCATGCATCAGACACTCAAAAAAAAGGTGAAATCTAAAATAATCAACATTCTTGGTACATTTCGGTACTTCAGCGAATGCACAGTATAAATGCGTGTCCTTTTTCAATCTTGGTGAATTTGGAAATCCAATATGGTGCTTAGTCTTTATTCAAGTCCCTCCTTTGATTCTCCCTGTAAGGTCAAAGCCTTTTTATCTCTGACCCGGTTTTTCTTCTTCTTCCTTTCTGCTTGAGTCTGAGAGTAAAAGTTGTTGTCTGCAGCGAGACTACAGTAGATTTTCTAACCCCCAAATTCCTCCTTTGGCTGACAAACGTCAACAAAGCCCCCGAGAGACACCAAAGAGAGGTGAGCAGTGAACTGAAGCCTCATTGTATCGGCTCATTATGGCGTCCCGCAGTGAGGAAGAAGCTATTTTGTAGCAGCACAAGGTCAATATCTGAAAGCCAGGGCGATGGAGTGGATCAGCCATGAGATTTTTAATTTGAGAAAGCGTAAAGAGGTTTTCCTGCAAGACGGTGTGTGAATTTCAATGGACTGTGGGGATTGTACAGGCAATATGTTGAGTTGGCAAATGTTGTCCTCTTCTCTTTAAAAAGTCATATGAAATGCAAGCTCCCTGATACTTCTTTGTGTCACATGCAGTTTTTGCTATCAAGATTTCAGGCAAGGGACGAGTGCTGCTGCCTGCTGCTTATAAAAGCGTGATGTTTCAGCCTCACACACACACAGTTTCCATGCTGTACGTACATGAAGAAGCTTCTGTATCCAGTGTTTCTCCTTCATTTGAATGCAAATCATATCAACATGTATCCCACACTTTCTTAAACAGCTGTTCCCAAAGCTGTCTGAGATATTTTTCTTTGCTTCCTGGATTCACTTTCCCAGGAATTTTGATTTTACTTCCAAAAAGATGTGAAAAGGGGAGCTGTCACTCTCTATTATGGTGACCTCAATGATTGTGTGCCCTATCCAAATCCAGCGGTTTTCCATAACAATGCAAATTAAAGGGTGCAAAGCCGAAGGAGACAAGACTTGTTATTTTCAATCCGAAGGACAGAGGTTCTTTACAACAAACTTGTCTGTACGCCTCTAAAATTTGATTCAAATGCCAACTTGGAAGTTGTTTTGTGTGTGAGACAATGCGTTTTTTGCTCATGAGGGTCAGCTACTATCTTGAGAACGTGATACTGGAGCTGTGGAGTTTATTTTGCAAATGAAAGATTATAAAAAATGATAATCATAATGCATTGTGTTTTATGTATATTGTTGAAGCAGACTCATAGTTAGGGGAGGTCAAATTAATGTGCAACCATGTGGATGTATCATGGACACTATTGACTTAATATACTTGCTTTTGGCAGACTTAGTACTGTAGATTTCTGTTTTATCAACAAGGACCAATTCGGGTATCAATGCATGGTTTTAATTGGAAACTGGTCAGGGATCTGAGCTTCAATTGAAAGGGATATACTCTATTTTGATATCCAAAGACCATCCTATATGCATATGTATGCTGCATACAATAAGCAAGCAACAGTAATACATCCTGGTACTCATAAAGCACAATTTAATGCTAGGACCATTGCTATAATTTCAACTGTACGAAGTCTTGTGTAGTATGAATTAAAACAATGCATATCACTGGCAATTGTAACTGCTGCTTTAAAACAAAATGGCACAGTGGGAAAAGGGAAAATCAACGTGGTTATTTATCCCCAGAGGTCATTTATATGTTACGTAAATCTGTAGAAAATAGATAAAAAAACATATGAAATTAGGGTTATTTAAGTGAATTGCATCTAGGTATTATTGTGTACAATTACCCGTATAATTTATGTACATGTCTGAGGTATTACTATTTCTTTGTTATACACAATACACTCATCTGCAATGGGTGAATAGTCTGCAGTCAGTGACCCACATATCTCAGATCTGCTTAACTCAGACTGTTGTTTTATTCAGTGCACTGTCAACACTACTGTGAGTAGGCGGAGGGGGCGGGGTTTCATGCTTATCTGCCTCTCTGATTGGCTGCCAGATTCGATTTCTCTTTTCCTCGATTCCTATTGGCTGCTCGCTGCTGTCAGTCTATATCTGTTATCACCGCTTCCCGCGCCATTCCACGTGCACGCGCGGGACCAGCAGGCACGTCCCCGCTTGGAGACTGTCTGGAGTCTGTCTGAAATTGATAAAAATTGGAGATGGAGTTTTTTTTGCATCTGTTTTCACAATTTTTCGAGGAAGACGCTCGTTGGAAATGGATTTTTATTTCTCGCGCTACTCCTAGAAAACGCCTTCGCCAAAAAGAGTCGTCTTGCTGAGATATACATGTATTTTCTGTAAACGCTGTGAAAGTTTTTTCTCCTGCAGTGTGTCAGCAGCAGACAGCTCTTTATTCCCAGGTAGGTGAGACAAGTTAGTGCACTGAGCTAACGCTGCTGCAGCATTCGCCTTTAAATGTTGTTTTGTGCACGCTTTACTCAGAAAATAAACAACCCTGTTCTGCATTATCATACTGGATTTTATATTAATCATTTTAGCTGTTTAAAGAACGCCTTTAATGCATATTTCTCCCACATTGCACCCTGTAAGCTAGCTGTTTTGTTTGGAGATGGTGCAGGTGACGCACCTGTGCTGATGATGACGCTGTTCATTAACCCCACCTGGTCATTACCTGAGCGTGAAACTGCCTATCTTGCAACATTATTCCCCTTTATTCCTCTAAATTATCTCATTTATGATTAAAATGCACCACACCACGGCTCGATATTTCATATGTCACAGGTGCAAACATCCTAACTAATCTAAATGAGTGTATGTGGCTTTAGAGGTGATGTGAAATGCATCCTGTTTTGACATGTTTCCTTCTTCCTTTGCTCTTGTTTAGGCTCTGCAGGGGATCATCCGACAGCCTTGAGTTCAGGAGGAGTGCACCATCCAGACTGCAGCCTGCACAAGGTTGGTTGAGACTGGGGTCAGATCAACTGTATGCATGAAATGGAGTTTATCAGACAGCATTTATTCATTTATCTTGATTACACCTAAAAAAAACACATGTGTACTTTAAACTTTCCACAAGTAGCTTCATAGTCCAATAAAACTGTCTGGTAGCATATTTAGCACATACAAATGTAGCTTATTCAGCACATACAGAATACACACTAATATTTGAAGGCCGTCTTTCACACTTAATTCAAGGTTGGTTGAAACTGGGGTCAGATACATGCATTTAATGGAGTTTATCAGACGGCATTTATTCATTTATATTGATTACACACCTACATAAACAACATTTTATTCATGTTTTTCTTCCTTTGGCATCTTAATGCTTTCGGTGTTTACTTTAAACTTTCCACAAGTAGCTTCATAGTCCAATAAAACCTCCTGGTAGCATCAATATATTATATATTAGCACATACACACTAATATTTGAATGCTGTCTTTCACACTATATTCAAATGCATAGCTTTGACGTCACTTTAAATGGAAAAATCTGCATGTTTGTATGGTTTTTACACGCTATCTGTGGTTGAGTTTGGCATATTTGATGTATTGCGATGTTTATTTCGAACAATGCTTGTCCAGACTGTTGAAAAGGTCTATCGTCATACTGTTTTCTACCCAAAATGTGTCACTTTTGCATCAATTTAGACATGGATTTAACCCAAAACAATGTGTTTAAATGCAGGCAATGTGATCTGCTGCTGCTCCCTCAGACTTGTCTAGACGCTTTTGCTCCGTCACTGCAGATTTGAGCATTGAGTCAGTCATATGACTCGAAGCCTTCCTCCCTCCTCCCCAGTGTCTGCTCTTTTGGGGCAAGATGGCTGCTATAGCATTGTTGTTATCCATGAGTTGATGTTAGCAGAAAATCATGGGGTTACATTACACTTCAGTGACACCCCAGGAAATCTGCATTTTACACTGAAGAGACGGTTAATGTACATCCTTTTAAAAGGTTTTCCCAACTTAAATATTGTGTGTTTAGACGATTTGATGATTATTTATCGCTATTTTTCACCAAAGCAACCCAAATACTGGGCAGTTTTCGTGTAATTCTTGACTTGATGGGTGTTTCATTCCCTACTTCTTGCTCCATGCTGCATATCGTTTTGTTTTGTGACGCGTGGTAGCCATTTTGTCTGATTCATGACTGGCAATTGGTGCCAAAGGCTTCCTAAAATGTGTTGTGAGCAACTAAAATGTCTCAGCAATTTCTAAAAATATCAGAATTGGCTTCTGATCTTGAATTTCTTCTCTGCTTTCTCTATATTTTTATAGAGAATACAGTATCTTGCAAATAGGCACACCTACAGTCTGTTT